TTTTGTGACCAGTGCTCACCAGGCCGGCCAGGGGCGTTGGGATCCGTCCTTCCGTCGAGCTCACAGTACGGTGCGGGAGTTCGCGGCAGTGTGGTTTGCTCTGGGGAGGATTCGGGTGGCCCGCGGATCGACGATTCGGCTCCATTCGGACTGCTCTCCGGTGGTTCATTGCCTGAACCGCGGGGGTTCGATGCGGTCCTTGTCTCTTTGGGGTTGGTCGCTTCGGGTGACTCGTCTGCTGAGTTCTCGGGGTTTGGCTCTCCTGGCGGTTCACGTACGGGGCGTGTCCAACGTCTTGGCCGACGCCCTGTCTCGCTTCGTTCCCCTCTCCACGGAGTGGACGGTCGACGACGAGTCCTTCCGTTGGCTTTGCCAGACGTTCGGGCGCCCCGAGGTGGACCTCTTCGCGTCGGCGTGGTCGCGGCGTCTTCCCGTTTATGCGGCGCCCTTCCCCGATTGCGAGGCCGTCGGGGTCGATGCCTTTCGGCTAGACTGGTCGAGGTGGGGGTTCCTGTACCTCTTTCCCCCGGTTCGGCTGTTGCTCCAGGTCCTGACTCGCTTAGAGACTTACCGGGGGAGAGTTGTCCTTCTGGCCCCTTGGTGGCCGGCCCAGCCTTGGTTTCAGGCGCTGGTTGCTCGGTGTCCGAACCCGAGGGTTTTCCCGCGGCTCCGCCTCTTTCAGCAGATCGGGCCGGTACGTCACGTAGCTGGTTCGATCTTCTCCTCGAGTCTTCGCGTATGGTTTTTTTGACTCGAGTCTATCATCATCTCTATGGTGATCAGGTGGCCTCCTTGTTGGTGTCCCACCTGAGGGCTTCTTCTCGGCGGCAGTATGAAGTTTCCTGGCGGTCCTTCCGTTTCTTTTTGCGTCTTCGTCGTGTTAGCTCCTTGTCTGTTCGGGTGGTCTTGTCCTTCCTCTCGTGGTTGTTTCAGGACCGTCATCTTATGCCTAACACTGTCGCTTCGTATCGTGCGGCGCTGGCGGAGCCGCTTCAGCTTGCTTTCGGTATCGATGTTACGTCTGCGCCGTTTCGCAAGCTGTCTCGTGCATTGTTTCACCTCCGGCCTGCTCATGCGTCGCCTGAGCCGTCCTGGTCTTTGGACAGAGTGCTCGCTTTCCTTTCATCTCCTCGTTTCGTTGTGGCCCCTTCGGTCCAGGATTGTTTTTCCAAGGCACTTTTCTTGTTGGCTTTGGCCTCTGGGGGTCGGGTAGGGGAGCTTCATGCTCTCCTCCGGCGCAGGGGTTTCTGCTCTTTTGGTCGTGGTGATAGTTTTGTTCGTTTGCAGCCGTCTCCTTCTTTTCTGGCGAAGAATGAGACTGCTGCGTTCCGGAGGGGTCCATGGGTGGTTGATGCTTGGTTGGTCAGGCCGGGGGTGCATCATGTTTTGTGTCCGGTTGCGGCGCTTCGCCGTTATTTGCGCGCCACAGCTTCTGTGTCCGGGGACGCGCTGTGGGTTGATCCGGTTTCCCTTCTTCCCTGTTCGCGGGTTCGGGTCTCTCAGGTCGTCCGCAGGGTTATTAGGTCCAGCCAGCCTGCGGTCTATCCCCGTGCCCATGACGTTCGTAAGTTCGCGGCTCTTGCTGCCGTCTTTGGGAATATGTCTTGGTCTGATATTCGGGCGCGGGGATTTTGGCGGTCGAACAGGGTCCTGGCTGCTCGTTACCTTGTGAATGTCCCTGGGCCTCGTCGGGCCTGTGTTGCTTTGGGTCGGCGGTTGCAGCCAGTTGTCTCGGCTTCGAGTTGAGGGGTGAGCGACGACCGCCTCCCGGGTAAGTCCCTCTTTTTCTGTCTGTGGGTAGTTAGCTCCGGGGAGCCGACGGGGCTCCCCCCAGAAAACCAGCGTTGAATGTAATGAAACGCCATTTTCTGGGTGAGTCCCGGAGGCTCCCCGGCATCCCTCCCTCCCTCCGGTCGGCGGTTTTTCGCGTTTTTGACATCCAGCCTCAAGAACTGAGGTGTGGGTAGCCGGCGCGGGGGGTCTGGGGCTCCCCCTTCCCCCTCCCGGGGAGGGGGGAGCTGCGCAGACAGCGGCGCGGCAGTGTGTGACGTCACACTAGTTTGCTTGTTTTCGGTTGGGGAGTTCTATCCACTAGTTCGGTTTTAGGTAGCAATTTTAACCAGAATAGGGGTTTGTTTTGGGGCGCTTACCTTTCTGGGTGCCTGTTCCGGTCGATGGCAGACATAGAATGCTTCCAACTACACGGGGGCTTCTATAGGCCATTGCTCCCCTTGCCTCTCTGAGGGGGCCCGGTTCTGGCCGTGGTCCCCGGTAGGCCTAAGAACTCCATACACATGACTGATGCCAAAGTCTGACATTAGCATATCAGCCTGGGATAGCTCCGGGGAGCCTCCGGGACTCACCCAGAAAATGGCGTTTCATTACATTCAACGCTGGTTTTTTGTGTCCTTTTGGTCTTTTGGTCTCTGGCCCTCTCGCAATTTCTGTTGAACCAATCCTGTTTCCTAGTTCTGCATCTTTGTTTTGGTATAAATTTTTTTGTGCCTTTATCATATATTTCACAAAACTTGACATACATCTCATTCACTTCCTTGCCTAGCAACAAGTCTGTCCAATTATACTCACTAAAAAAATTTCTAAGGTGCCATAATGTCCTCTCCTGAAGTCAGGTTTTTCAACTGCATCAACCTCCTTATTTTCTTCCAGATTATAACGCATTGCATACTTTATTCCCAAAAAGACATGGTCACTTTTACCCAAGGGAGGAAGGTACTGAATGTCAAATATCTCTTCCACCTTCCTGGTAAATATCAAATCTAGCATGGAGGGAACGTCCCCTTCCCTCATCTCGTAGCTTGTTTAACATGTTGATACAAGAATGTTTCCAGGATGAGGTTTACAAATTTACAGGTCCAAAAATCTTCTGTTTTAGCTTCATATGCTTCCCAGTCTATGGATATGAAGTTGAAGTCACCGACTATCAACAGTCGTGATCTATCGTTATCCGCTCTCGATATGATCTCTCTCTCATTATTTTTATAAGACCTTCTCGTTTACTATCTAGCTCCTCCTTTCACCATGTGCTGTTTGGCAGTGGACTATATGCATTTATGATCATTAGTTTATCATCTTCATGGCAGATCTCTAGTGCTATTATGTCAACTTCTTGTGGATTGGCAGTCATTATTTCGTTCACCTTTAGGTGTTCTTTCACCAGCACAGCAACGCCACCGCCTTTCCTAATTTTTCTGTCCCGTCTCCAAATTGAGTAGCCCCTTGGGAATATGACCTCATTTAAAATAACATCTTCAAGTTTTGTCTCTGTGAGTGCAACAATGTCTGGTGTCTGCAGCTGTATTACATCACTTAACTCCAGTATCTTCGATCTCACTCCATCTATGTTGGTGTATGCAATCTTCAGGAACTTGTTCCCCCTCTCCTTATTCTTCACTCCCCCTCTCTCTAATGATTTTGTTGGTTTGCCTTTATGTACCACTTTACTGGTCTGCCTACCCCTATCACTTTGTAGAAAAAAGAATTGATTTCTTCTTCATTCCTGCTCTCATTTAAACGTTTTGCCTCGGCGAGGTTCAGTTTCAGCTTCTCTCTATCTTCTTTTGAAAGATCTCGTCTTAACGACCACACTTTCCCATCCTCATCACTTTGTAATTTTCTAGCATTCCTTAGTACTTCTTCCATCTGTTTGGCACCGTTTAGGGTGATCCTCAAAGGTCGATCTTTCCCTTTTACATACTTGCCTATTCTCCTGTAGTCTCACACATTCTCTATGGTTGTAAGACCTTCCACGAGGCCAACAATTTTATCTACTACTTTTGCTTCTTCTACAGCTCTTTCTGACCTAGATGTTATCTCCTTTTCTTTGCAACCAAAAATGATCAGGGACTTACTCCGATCAACTGTGTTTTGCACCGACTTCGGGTTAAATGCCAATTCCTTTCCGACTTCCAGCCTAATGTTTGTTTTATCCTTGTTGCTTCAGTGTTTGGCTTCCCATACTGCTTCTTCTATTTTTTCCTTCTCCTTGGCCACTTGTGCATTGGTGAGTTGCATATCCTTCTTGCACTGTTCTATTCCCTGTGTAACTTCCCCCATCTGTGCTGACAAAAGCTGTTTCTCTTGTTGAAGTTCCTTACCTAACCTATTGTAGTAATTTATGTTTAAATTTGCTTTAACTGATTGCAAAGCTATTTTTAAGAGTTTATTTTCCTCTTCCATGGCTTTGCAATTTGTTTCCAATTGATTCTTGTCCTTGCACAAATCTTTCACTAAATCCTCAAGACATACAACTTTGCTATTTAAATGGTCATTACGTTCTTTCAATTTACTGATTATTTCTACATGAGAGCTCACTATAGCATCTAATTTTGCCAACTTATTGTGTAGACTGCTAATATCAATGCTTTCTTCATTGAATCCCCCAAAATCAAGCTCTGTTTTGTTTTTCCTCTTGCCGATGGCCATCTTGAATGTTCTTGTCTGCCCTGGAAACACTAGGGCAACTTTTTCTCATCCAATTTTTTCACTTCCCTTGGCACATTCATGTTATCTCACCTATTTTTCAAAATCACTACACTTTTATGTTCCCTGGGACACCACACACTATCATCAACCTGTACTACAATACTTAGGATTGTTGAAATATGCTGGAGCTCCTTTAATGCAGGTGTTAACACTAGGGGTGTCACCTTTTCAATCAAAATAAATTAAATGGTGTCGACCTGAGGAACATCGTGATCCCAGCGGGTGACCCCAGACACTGACCATGACTTTTCCTAAATACTATTGGGTGAACAGAGGCGAACAGTTAAGAACTGGCACCTAGTCAATCTTCCCTGGCCAAGACTCGAAGCTGGACAAATTGCTCGCGAAGCACGGGGTGAGTGTTAGCACTGCGTCACCAGTGCGTGTGTGTGTGTGAGTGAGAGTTAGTTACTGGGTTGATAGTTCTAAAGTAATTGGTAAATATTTGGTGATTTTGGTTTAGATGTAAAGCATGACAAAAACTTTGAAATTTACAGATCAAGTGGAATAAGCAATGCTGTCTCACCTCCGCCAAATATTGCTCTTGGTGAGAATAGCTCCGTTGCTACTGGTAACTCCCCGTCTTCAAAATCTGATAAGGTATGTTAAAAAGTGCCTTATTATGTATGCCATGAAAATATTAACAGTTTCTTTTTATTCTTTTCAAAGAATTGGCACTTAAAGATTGTCTTGCAAGTTTTTGTTGAAAATATTAATTTGGGGAGTTTAGTACTTTTAATGTTTTTCATCTAAGGATCACCAGGATAGAGGAATATGAACATTTGAGGAATTTGAACAAAAATAAACATATGAGTGGTGAGAGAAGACCTTTGTTATAATGTACATACTGTACTGTAAAAATGACTGTTGGGTGTTTGTATACAGACGATGAGTCACAATAACGCAGCTGAAGATATGTTGACCAAACCACATATCAAAGGATGAAGAAACATTGGCATTTTGGTCCATCATGGACCATTATTAAGTCGTGTGGGTGTTTGTATAATGTCTCATTATTGGGGACAGAAAGCCTGAAAGGCTCATCAAGGTGCCCCTTGGCTAATAACTGGTCTTTAACAGGATGCAACCCTTAATAGTTGACCTACTTCCAGGTATTTATTTCCTGTTAGGTGAACAGAGGCATAAGATGAAAGGAAACATGTCCAAATATCTCTCCCTTTCTGGAAATTTATCCTGGAACTCTATTGGTTCATCTTGCTGAGAAACTGGCAGGCGCGGACATCTCCAAGTATGTGTCTATACTCAACAGACTGCTCTCAGCAAATGGTCCACCCGAAATGTCAGTACCAGTGGACCTACTCCAGGCTTCATAGATCCTTGCAATACAAACCAATCATCTCCCAACAACAATAGCAGCAACAGCAAAAGCAGCAGCAGCTTTGGCAGCCAGCCCACCAACAGGGCAAGCAGCCCCAGTCACCCAAGAGACACTAACAACAGCACCAGATCAAGAGACATCAGCAACTCTTACACTGGCAGCCCAGCCGAAGCAACCTTCATCAGTTACAGCTCCAAGTGTACGGCCCAAATTGAGACAGATCAACCAGGAATCAAAACCATAAACCCTACACTGGGCAAAGAAGCACCTCCCAACCCAGATCCACCTACAACAACTATGTACATCCCATCCTTTGACCACCGAACAGATTGGAAGAACCTACATAGGCTTGGCAAACGGTGAAGAGGATGCATGTTTCAGGACCAGAGCAGTCAACACACAGCTCTACAATGACAAATACAAGCAAAATGGACTGCCAGATCTCCAAGACTAGGCCATAGAAGCCGCAACGATACACAACCCTCTGGACTCCACTTGGCTCTCACCACAGCTGATCGACCCTGAATACTTCAAAATCCATCCAAACAACTCTGCTGTACTCCTGAAACCAGAAGAAATGAAGAGGCACTGCAGGTTATGCAGACAGATCCGGAAACTGCACAAGCTCAAGAATAACGCCACAATACACGCTAGAACAACATGCCATGCACCACCTCCAATGGGAAGACACCTCCTCCAAGCCAGTCACAGCACCTCACCTACACTAGCATGAAAGCCTCCTGCCATTCCACAAGACTCCTACTGCAGAATTAAGACTCAACAATATGCTCCACTCCAATCCATACAACATGCCATCCATCACCGAACTGTCAAGCCTCCGCGTTTCCCATCCAAGTCCTCTTCAAGGATGTCAACGCCTCATTCTTCTTTCTCCCCCGACCTTTTCCAAGGTCTTTGGACATAGAACGCAAGCAATCTTGGAACCTCTCAATTGGCTGCAGACTGCATTGACCACTGTTCTACAAATAACAATAAAGTACAGTACATTCATTGTAGATCATTGGAGTACTGTAACTAAACAGTAGTCTGGACACGAAGGATTATGGGGGGAAAATAGGATGACATTCACTTGAAGACACAACATTTAAGTAATGGTAGAATTTGAAAGTGTTACATGCTGAGCAGTAGATGTGAAGAGAAAGGAGGATAGAAGTTGCACCCGGTTCACTGATGAGACATGTGACTGTAAACTTAATTTTGTCTAGAACTAATAATGCTCCAGATGTGATACCTTGTACTGTACTCATTACATTCCTTGTACTCATTACAGTACCCTGTGGTCATTATGTTCCGTGTACTCATTACACGAGTGTTCATTCCCTGAGATTTGCCAGCCTAGAGATGCCTTTCTTGATCTTTTTTACTACTATTAAAAGATACCAAGTTGCTGTTTATAAATGATAGCTCTCTGGCAGTCATTTGTTTAATGACTTGTAGGAAACATTTTGTGTATGTAAAGTTCTTGGGAAGGTGTCCATGATTGTTAGTATAAACTATTATTTTTCCCCCGACAAGATGTGCACAAATCTAAACAGCAAATTATATTATTGTGAACTGCTGTTTCTGTTAAGTTCCCTCCCTGTTACACACTAGACATTGCCTCTTCTCACACAGTGTGTTAAACAAGTGCAATATATTACGTGTAAAGGCTTTTACAGTGAGACATTAATAAAGGTATGAAGTGATGATGACCAAACCACACATCAGAAGATGAAGAAATGACGACGTTTCAGTCCGTCCTGGATCATTATCAAGTTGTGTGTTGATAGTGGTCCAGGACGGACCTAAATGTTGTCGTTTCGTCATCTTCTGACGTGTGGTTTGGTCATCACATCTTCCGCCATGTTATTGTGACTCATTGTCTTCATACAAACGTATGAAGTGTTGGCTTCTGGCTGCACTGCAAACTGTTGTTGGAGCAGAGGTATCATCTACACATACACATCTACACATAGTGGTGGGTGAATGAGGAGTCGACTAAGCATTTCAGTTTCATTTGTATGTGTGAGGTAGACATTTTGTACTTCGGGTGTATTCACCTAGTTGTGTTTGCTGGGGTTGAGCTTTGCTCTTTCGGCCCGCCTCTCAACTGCCAATCAACTGTTTACTAACTACTTTTCTGGGGGGAGTCCCTACAGCTCCCCAGAGCTATCCATGGCTGATATGGATACCCTAACTATTTTGTATCAGTCGATGTGGGTGGAGTTCTAGGCCTACTGGGGACCACGAGCCAGAACCTGGCCCCCTCAGAGAGGCATGGGGAGCAATGGCCCATAGAATTGTACATGTGATTTGGAGCATTCTATATCTGCCATCAACCGGGACAGGCACCCAGAAAGGTAAGCGCCACAAAACAAACCCCTATTCTGGTTAACAACAAAAATCGACATACGAGTGGACAGAACTCCCCAAGAAAAACGAACTAACAAGCATGACATCACACGAGCCGCGCCGCATGTCTGTGCAGCTCCCCCTCCCCGGGAGGGGAAGGGGGAGCCCCAGACCCCCGTGCTGGCAATTCCCGCCCCAGTTCCTCGGCTGATGGGATAGTGCATGGTCGTGTGGCTCCAGCTCCAGTCTTGTCTCAGTGTTGTGACTTGTTTGCAGTGCTGCTCTTACGGTGGTCGTGTGAGCTGGGAGTAGTATTCTCAGTGGTATTGACCCTAAGCACATGCACTCGGGCTGCATGTGCTTAGGGTCACCTACCCTGAGTGCCCTGTAAGTACCGCCCTTGGGGCTTGGGGTTGCCTTCCACAAGTCACCTTGGGTCTACCTCTGTTGGCTTTTCGCTGCTTGGCGTTTGGCCGCCCCGAGTGTTTGGGGGTTTTCCTCCCTTGTTTACCTTGGGGTAAGTGGTAGTTTTAGCACTGGTGGGGCGCAGGGTACTGCGTAGCTAGTTTTCACCTATGACAGCGGCCGGCTCTGTTCCCTCTGGGTACGTTGTCCACTTGTGTGGTTTTTCTTTTATATTTTCTTTTATATTTGTTTACCGCCCTTGGGCGGTACCCTGTAAGTACCGCCCAAGGGCGGTATTTACAGAGCACTCAGGGCATGCAATGGAGCCCAAGGGCCCCAAGGCCGCTCCTCCCCAACCCCAGGAGCCTCTACACCAGGCCCCGAGGCCGAGTCGACCTCCAAAGCCCCGACCTCACAAGAAAGCCCCACGACTCCCAAACCATGGGAGTTTGTTTTGGTTCCAGGCGGTGTGCACACGTGTTGGTGTTCTGCATCCATTTTCTCTTGGGGGGCTACATTCTCATAGGCTTGCATCATGGCTCTTCAGCGCCTATGTTCTGCAGGTGAGTTGGTGCGGTCTGGCGTCTTCTTCGTCCTGACGCTGTTTTTGTTTTAGGAAGTAGGAATGGGTGTACATACGTACTTGAGAACGTGGACCGTAACAACCGAGGTGCCTACTGCTGGGCTATTGGCCCATACAGGGCAGCTCTTGTTCTCACCACCTGATTCCTTCCTTGGTTCACGGGTGACTGCGGGTGGCCTCTTGGCCCTTCCGAGACGGCTCCTGCCTGTACTCATCCTGCCCCTCTCCTATGCTTGTCTAGCCTTGCTTGAGTTCGGGGCCCCGCCTCCACCTTGTTTCACGGTGCAGCGGTGGGGGTGAATGTTCGGTGGTACGTTTTCCTTTGTTGAGGGTGTTTTGTGCTCGTCTCCTTGTGCTTGCGGGATTGGGTTCTGGCTCTTCGGTTCCGCCTCTCCCCTGTCGTTCGTCTGATGTGCGGATTCTGTGCTTCATGGGTGCTCTCGTCTCTGCTCTTGGGGCTGTGTATGGGGTCAGCCCAAGTTGGGCTGCCTAATGTGTTCCTTCGATTGCCTGTTACACTGCACACGTTTCTTCTACCGTCCCTGTGGCTCGGTTGGGTACTCAGTTTCCGCCTGTGTTCCCTTGTGTGCCACTCGTGTTACGGTTTATCTTTATCTTCCCTGTCACTACCTCGGGGAGTGTGGTGACGTTTTTGCTGCAGTTTTAGTACTGCGGCTGCGTGTTGGGGTTGGTTGTGGCATTATGTTCGGCCCTTCTGTGCTCCCTCTGGGGCCCTCTTTCCTTGCCGGTCTTGCTGTGCCGGGCCTGGTTTTTCCATGTTCCTTGGATTCTCTGTCCTGTCCTCGTTGTCCTCGCCTCATTGTGCTGGCTGGGGATGAGCTTGGGGTCTTTGTCTCGCCCCCCGCCTATCATTCGGTTTCGGTTCAGGTTCCAGAGCCCAGTGGGCTCCCTTCCTTAGTGTTTTTCACGGCTGCCCCGGGGTTTTTCTTGACGCTGGGGCTTTGGGGTGACAGGTCGGCCTCGGGGCCCTGCTGGGTGGGTTCCTGGGGCTGGGGTGGGGCTGATGTGGGGGGGCCTCAGGCCCCGTTGGTCCCTGCCGGGGTTTTTCTACCCCTCTGGGCGGGGCTTGCGGTTTTGTGGAATGGTGTTTTTCCGTTCCCCCTCTCCACACGAGCTTTTTGGGCGTCGGCCCTTCCTTGGGCTCGGTTTCCTTGTCCATTATACCCGTTGCTTCCGTCCTTTCGGTGGGTGCTTTTCTACGGTCTTCGCCCCCTTTTTCCGGGACGGGCCTTCTCCGTCATGACCCACTCTTCTTGGGGTTCTGCATGACATTTGGTCTCGGGTGCGACGGGGTTTTTGTGCCTTCGTCCTTTGTGTTTGCTTCTTTTTGTTCTCGAAGGTTTGGACGGGTTTTTGCTCCTTCCCGTTTTCTGGTACGTCTGTCGTCGTTCGGTTGGCCTTCCCTCTGGTCCTTTCTAGGGCTTGTGAGTCCTATTCCAGGTAGCTTCTGGGTGTTTGGCCTTCTTGTTCTTTTGTTCATATCTCTTCTCTTAGCGCTGTCTCGGCGCTGCTCGTTTTCCTGGGGGCGATTTTGCTCATCTTAATGAGAGCCTTTTCGCTCCTGCCCTTCTGCGGGATATTGGTGCGGGGCGGCTCCTTGTGCGGGTTCCTTCCCTGTCGGCTGCACTTGTGGCCGTGGAATTGCACACTTGTGGCATTTTGGTTTTGGTCCTGCGTTTCTTTTCCCTTCTGGGGCTGTCATAGGATTGGCTTGCGGAGGATGTAGAGGCGCTTGGGGTCGTTCCTGGGTCTGGCACCTTGGTTTCTGCTGCTAGCTTTCGGTATCGATGTTCCTTCTGCGCCATTTCGCAGGCTGTCTCGTGCGTTGTTTCACCTCTGGCCTGCTCATGCACTGCCTGTGCCGTCCTGGTCTTTGGACAGGGTGCTCTCCTGTGTTTCTTCTCCTTGGTTTGTTGTGGCTCCTACGGTTCAGGTTTGCTTTGCTACGGCTCTCTTTTTCTGTTGGCATTGGCCTCTGGGGGTCGTGTGGCAGAGCTTCATGCTCTTCTCAGGCGCAGTGGTTTTTTGGCTCCTATGGTCGTGGTCATAGGTTTCTTCGTCTGCAGCCGTCTCCCTTTTTCTGGCGAAAGATGTGCCTGCTGCTTTCCGGAGGGGTCCTTGGGTTGTTGTCTCGACTTCGTGTTGAGGAGTGGTGCACCAACTGCCTCCCGGGTATGTCCCCTTGTTTTCTTAGGTAGTCTTTGGTGAAGTAGCTCCGGGGAGCCATAGGGACTACCCCCAGAAAACTAGCGTTGAATGTAATGAAACGCCATTTTCTGGGTGAGTCCTGGAAGCTCCCCGGCACCCTCCCGCCCTCCGGTCGGCGGTTTTGATATCCAGCCTCAGAACTGGGGCGGGAATTGCCGGCGCGGGGGTCTGGGGCTCCCCCTTCCCCCTCCCGGGGAGGGGGGAGCTGCGCAGACATGCGGCGCGGCTCGTGTGACGTCATGCTTGTTCGTTCGTTTTTCTTGGGGAGTTCTGTCCACTCGTATGTCGATTTTTGTTGTTAACCAGAATAGGGGTTTTGTTTTGTGGCGCTTACCTTTCTGGGTGCCTGTCTCGGTCAGTGGCAGATATAGAATGCTCCAAATCACATGTGCAATTCTATGGGCCATTGCTCCCCGTGCCTCTCTGAGGGGGCCAGGTTCTGGCTCGTGGTCCCCGGTAGGCCTAGAACTCCACCCACATCGACTGATGCAAAATAGTTAGGGTATACATATTAGCCATGGATAGCTCCGGGGAGCCTCCGGGACTCACCCAGAAAATGGCGTTTCATTACATTCAATGATGTTTTTTTTTGTTTTTTTCACACCATACACACCCCAGGAAGCAGCCCATGACAGCTGACTAACTCCCAGGTACCTATTTACTGCTAGGTAACAGGGGTAGTTCAGGATGAGAGAAACTTTGCCCATTTGCTTCGGCCTGGTGCGGGAATCGAACCCGCGCCACAGAATTATGAGTCCTGTGCGCTATGCGCCAGGCTACCAGGCCCCCTCCTGTTACAGTGTGTTACAGTGTGGGGTCCCATGCTCACTTGGAAAGACTGTATAGGAAGATGGCTTTGCACATTGCTATGCAAGGAAGACTGGCTGCAAAATAAGTATCTCAAGTATTAAAAAAAAATGTTTTTGAGTGATGTTTGTCATTTCACTCTATGCTAATGCTGATAAGGTATTCTAATGGTGGCTTTTGTCCCCTTGCCATTAGAATCAGCGAGTACTCTTATTAATTCCAGAGAAGCACGAAGGAGCGAGGGGGGGGAAGTGGGGGGATGAGCCTGATGCGCAAGTTTACAAGTAGCGGTAAAAAAAAGAGCAAATCTCCACCACCTTCGTATTCAATGGACAACCCAGTGTTTGAGGACTCTACAGTATCCGCCAGTGTGCAACATGTCCATACTAGGTGAGTGCAAGTCGCCTTCTCTTTTTAAAGTAGAATGTTTCTCTGATATTTTACCTCTGGAATTTTGCACTGAAATTTTTTTCTATTGTATTAGGAAAAGAGAATTAAATAGAAAGAATATAATCTTACAAAAAAACTTTGCCATTTAATTCAAGGTGTGAAGAAATTCAGCAGAGATGTGTTGTTGTACTGTAAAAGTCAAATATAGCAACATAATAAATAGTCTGTTTTTAAGGAAAGAAGGGAAATATAAAACAGCCTATTTAAAAACTTTCATTTTCTAAAAATGGTGTAATCGAAGTGAATGAAAATTAATGTCGGCAAGAAACGAGAATAATATTTTGAGGATTCATTATGAGGAAATGCTGAATGATGGTGAGAAGCTGCTCTGTGGGTGTAAGGAGGAGGGGATTTATATGATAGGAAGGTTAAGAAACATATCTTGGAATAAGAGGTAAGAAAAGTTATGAATTGTGACTTACAAGTAGGCTGTGAGAGTAGACTGTCAAGCTGGCAAGTAATTTACAAGCAGATTATGAGAGTAGACTGTCAAGCTGGCAAGTCGCATAGAAGCAGGTTTTCAAAATAGGCTGTCAAGCTGGTAAGATTACAGTAGGGGGGCAGGGGAAGCAGAAATTGAATTGATATAGAAAGTTCTACAGTAAGTAAATAATATGAATGTAAAAAAATTGGGATAATAAACCTTTAGCATAACTAGCAAGGTATTTTTGGAGGATTTTAATTGAGTATTTGGAATGTCTAAATATCTTACAAGCAAGAGACAGGGAGAGTACTACCTTGTGTGGAACACTGAAGGTATTACCAGACATGAGACAGTATTACCAGACATGAGACAGTATTACCAGACAAGGGACAGTATTACCAGACATGAGACAGTATTACCAGACAAGGGACAGTATTACCAGACATGAGACAGTATTACCAGACATGAGACAGTATTACCAGACATGAGACAGTATTACCAGACAAGAGACAGTATTACCAGACAGACATTACCATGAGACAGTATTACCAGACAAGGGACAGTATTACCAGACATGAGACAGTATTACCAGACATGAGACAGTATTACCAGACATGAGACAGTATTACCAGACAAGGGACAGCATTACCAGACATGAGACAGTATTACCAGACAAGGGACAGTATTACCAGACATGAGACAGTATTACCAGACATGAGAGAGTATTACCAGACAAGGGACAGTATTACCAGACAAGGGACAGTATTACCAGACATGAGACAGTATTACCAGACAAGGGACAGCATTACCAGACATGAGACAGTATTACCAGACAAGGGACAGTATTACCAGACATGAGACAGTATTACCAGACATGAGACAGTATTACCAGACATGAGACAGTATTACCAGACAAGGGACAGCATTACCAGACATGAGACAGTATTACCAGACATGAAACAGTATTACCAGACATGAGACAGTATTACCAGACAAGGGACAGTATTACCAGACATGAGACAGTATTACCAGACATGAGACAGTATTACCAGACATGAGACAGTATTACCAGACAAGGGACAGCATTACCAGACATGAGACAGTATTACCAGACATGAGACAGTATTACCAGACAAGGGACAGTATTACCAGACAAGGGACAGCATTACTAGGCATGAGAGAGTATTACCAGACATGAGACAGTATTACCAGACATAAGACAGTATTACCAGACAAGGGACAGTATTACCAGACAAGGGACAGTATTACCAGACAAGGGACAGTATTACCAGACATGAGACAGTATTACCAGACAAGGGACAGCATTACCAGACATGAGACAGTATTACCAGACTAGGGACAGTATTACCAGACAAGGGACAGTATTACCAGACAAGGGACAGTATTACCAGACATGAGACAGTATTACCAGACATGAGACAGTATTACCAGACATGAGACAGTATTACCAGACAAGGGACAGTATTACCAGACATGAGACAGTATTACCAGACAAGAGACAGTATTACCAGACAAGGGACAGCATTACCAGACATGAGACAGTATTACCAGACAAGGGACAGCATTACCAGACATGAGACAGTATTACCAGACATGAGACAGTATTACCAGACATGAGACAGTATTACCAGACAAGGGACAGTATTACCAGACATGAGACAGTATTACCAGACAAGGGACAGCACTACCAGACAAGGGACAGTATTACCAGACAAGAGACAGTATTACCAGACATGAGACAGTATTACCAGACATGAGACAGTATTACCAGACAAGGGACAGTATTACCAGACATGAGACAGTATTACCAGACATGAGACAGTATTACCAGACATGAGACAGTATTACCAGACAAGGGACAGTATTAACAGACATGAGACAGTATTACCAGACAAGGGACAGGGACAGTACTACCAGACAAGGGACAGTACTACCAGACAAGGGACAGTATTACCAGACAAGGGACAGTATTACCAGACAAGGGACAGTATTACCAGACAAGGGACAGTATTACCAGACATGAAACAGTATTACCAGACAAGGGACAGCATTACCAGACATGAGACAGTATTTCCAGGCAAGGGACAGTACTACCAGACAAGGGACAGTACTACCAGACAAGGGACAGTACTACCAGACAAGGGACAGCAGTACCAGACGTGAGACAGTATTACCAGACATGAGACAGTATTACCAGACATGAGACAGTATTACCAGACATGAGACAGTATTACCAGACAAGGGACAGTACTACCAGACAAGGGACAGTATTACCAGACAAGGGACAGTATTACCAGACATGAGACAGTATTACCAGACATGAGACAGTATTACCAGACATGAGACAGTATTACCAGACATGAGACAGTATTACCAGACAAGGGACAGTATTACCAGACAAGGGACAGTATTACCAGACAAGGGACAGTATTACCAGACAAGGGACAGTATTACCAGACATGAGACAGTATTACCAGACAAGGGACAGTATTACCAGACAAGGGACAGTATTACCAGACATGAGACAGTATTACCAGACAAGGGACAGTATTACCAGACAAGGGACAGTATTACCAGACAAGGGACAGTATTACCAGACAAGGGACAGTATTACCAGACATGAAACAGTACTACCAGACAAGGGACAGTACTACCAGACAAGGGACAGTATTACCAGACATGAGACAGTATTACCAGACATGAGACAGTATTACCAGACAAGGGACAGTACTACCAGACAAGGGACAGTATTACCAGACAAGGGACAGTATTACCAGACATGAGACAGTATTACCAGACATGAGACAGTATTACCAGACATGAGACAGTATTACCAGACAAGGGACAGTATTACCAGACAAGGGACAGTATTACCAGACAAGGGACAGTATTACCAGACAAGGGACAGTATTACCAGACATGAGACAGTATTACCAGACAAGAGACAGTATTACCAGACAAGGGACAGTATTACCAGACATGAGACAGTATTACCAGACAAGGGACAGTATTACCAGACATGAGACAGTATTACCAGACAAGGGACAGCATTACCAGACAAGGGACAGTATTACCAGACATGAAACAGTATTACCAGACAAGGGACAGCATTACCAGACATGAGACAGTATTACCAGACATGAGACAGTATTTCCAGACAAGGGACAGTACTACCAGACAAGGGACAGTACTACCAGACAAGGGACAGTACTACCAGACAAGGGACAGCATTACCAGACGTGAGACAGTATTACCAGACATGAGACAGTATTACCAGACATGAGACAGTATTACCAGACATGAGACAGTATTACCAGACAAGGGACAGTACTACCAGACAAGGGACAGCATTACCAGACATGAGACAGCATTACCAGACATGAGACAGCATTACCAGACATGAGACAGCATTACCAGACATGAGACAGTATTACCAGACATGAGACAGTATTACCAGACATGAGACAGCATTACCAGACATGAGACAGCATTACCAGACATGAGACAGCATTACCAGACATGAGACAGTATTACCAGACATGAGACAGTATTACCAGACATGAGACAGTATTACCAGACAAGGGACAGTATTACCAGACAAGGGACAGGGACAGTACTACCAGACAAGGGACAGGAACAGTACTACCAGACAAGGGACAGGAACAGTACTACCAGACAAGGGACAGGAACAGTACTACCAGACAAGGGACAGGGACAGTACTACCAGACAAGGGACAGGGACAGTACTACCAGACAAGGGACAGGAACAGTACTACCAGACAAGGGACAGGGACAGTACTACCAGACAAGGGACAGGAACAGTACTACCAGACAAGGGACAGGAACAGTACTACCAGACAAGGGACAGGAACAGTACTACCAGACAAGGGACAGGAACAGTACTACCAGACAAGGGACAGGAACAGTACTACCAGACAAGGGACAAGGACAGTACTACCAGACAAGGGACAAGAACAGTACTACCAGACAAGGGACAGGAACAGTACTACCAGACAAGGGACAGGGACAGTACTACCAGACAAGGGACAGGGACAGTACTACCAGACAAGGGACAGGAACAGTACTACCAGACAAGGGACAGGAACAGTACTACCAGACCCCAGACAGTTCTGTTTCTCTGTTCGGTGTTCGTTTTTTTGCAATTTCCTGCCAAGTGGAGTTTGTTTTGGAATGCCTCCTTTTCTGGGTGCCTAATTCTGGTCAATAACAGACATGGAATACCCCCAAATAAATGGGGATTTCCTTATGTCATTGCTCCCTGCACATCTCTGAGGGGGGCCATGTTCTGGCTAGTGGTTCCCAGTAAACAGAACTCCATTGACTGAAGCCCCAGACTAATATAGCGTATATCAGTCCAATAGCTCCAGGGAGCCGAAGGGGCTCCCCACAGAAAAGACAATAAAGATATTGGGCAAGGAAAGAGAGCTGTGGAGGTTCCTGGATAGTAAACTGCACCAAATGACCACATGCTGAA